CAACAAATGCATTGTACCTTTCACAGTTTTAACAGCAACAATTGTTCTGCTAAGTGTCATTGATCGTTGTAATTTCAAGCGTTTTTTCGCMTCCTTGGSAGTCTTTTCACRAGGYTTGAATGCTGTCATACCRATTGCTTCAGCTTGAACCACCTGCCCAAAAGCACCTGAACCAAGATGTTTACCAAGAATTAGCCTTTTTTCAGGGAACTCCCATTTCAGATCATAGGGCAAGTCATCACATTGCTCAAGGAGACTTCGGTTGGGATCAACCTAAACGCAAAGATGGAAGATTGAAGCTGCACTCTTAATCTAAAAGTACAGATTGAAATGGGATTTACATCGATGCTTCACTATGATTTGTCCAATCCTTCTTGTATTCTGGCAAAAGTGTCAGAATGTTAACTAAAAATGCAAGTCCAAATAGAAGCGCAAAATTCACACAACATAAGGTCTACTTCAAGATCCAATCCAAATTGTTCAAAATCCGTACTAAAATTACAAAAACGTTGCTCAAGTTACGACCATTAAGAAACCTACATTGGAACCTAATGTTAATCAAAGTCGTTCAAAAGCGCGAGTGGTTTTAGAGCTATACTTCTTGCGCCACACAACTCAGTTATAGCTACCTCTCATGATGGGATATGTTAGGGCATACTTATCCTAAAAACGGATCGTTATCATTTCACACTTGAAAACATCGCGGCCTGGGGACACATAGGAGTRTAGAGTTTATCTTTACCTCGTAGTCGGAATTTCCAGTTTTAAGGAAGTACAGTTCCCTCAATTTCTCAAKTTGCTTTTTCTGTCGTCGATAAACAGCAAAGCAGATGATGCTGACTAGTAAAAAGAATGCTATGCATCCGCAAATGATGTTGATCAGAGACCGTTKTGATAACCCTTCGTCACTTGCTTGTCCATTTGTTTGAATARAGATAGGTACCTTCATTACTGTCGAAATAAAGAGAGACAATTGTACTTAGTTACAGATCGACATTTKCAGTCGCTTCTGCTGACGCGTGATTATTGAATCTGTATTGCACTATTCTTGATTTAGGGGATTACATTAATGGTAAACTTTGTTTCATTGACGTACCATCGGCATCGATACAGTAGTGCAGCAGATCTGATTTGTAGTTTGTAGCATTACATGTGTAGTTTCCAAGGTTCTCTTCAAGAACCTCATTGAATTGCAGTGTTGCTTTGCCTCTACCACTGAATAAATTGTCAGTTTGACCAGTTCTTGTCCAGACAACAGTAGGAACAGGATTACCACTTGCAATGCATGTGATTTCAAGAGGATATCCGAGGCTGACTTTTTGTTTGTTTCTTAAAGGTTCCGTTATCGTAGCAGGGGCTGAAAAAGGTCAAAATGCTGAATTCATGTCAAAC